GTGTGTGTGTGTATATATATATATATATATATATATACACACACACACATGCACACATACATGTAGGTCTTGAGTTGATGTTTCACATGTGTTTATTTTGATGACAAGAGCATACGGAAGGATTTAGAACCAAAGCCCAGTTAAAATCCTTTGATAATTAGGCATATGGTCATTCAGACTTCAAAGCACTGATCCTGTTAGATCCCATTAGATTTAAGATGTCTACATGTTCCTACTAGTAGGGACACAAATACAAGAAGGTGATGTACTATTTTAAGCTGATATAGCTGTTCTTTATATAAGAGAGAGAACTTTTCACTCGTTAGAAACCACATGAAAGTATTCACCCAAAAATGATGCTATGTCCTATTTTACTTTCAGGTAGGGAGGTTGAGAGATGCCAAACTTCGGGGCCTCTAAACTCATTTCTTCAATTCTGCAGTGACTGTTTTAAAGAACACCAGCCAAGTTGTGACATTCAAAAAGGGGCAAATTCAAGCAATCACATCAGCTACAAAGAAACAGAAGACTCTTGTTTCAATACCCTTCTACTAGTTCTCAATTACCATTCATAAAAAACTAAATGAAACCTCCCAAAAAGGAGTGAGGAGGTATAATTCAAGTGTAGGCTCCTTAGCATAGCCGGTAACTTGGAAGTCTATGATCAGCTGCATGCTAATCAATCAACCAACAAGTTTTTATTAAGCACTTACTAGTTTCCCCACACTACTAGAGACTACATATCTAAGACAGCCTCCATTCCCACATTCCCACTCGGAACTTTCTGAACTAGAATTAACAGCACCCTATAATTCCTTTGGAAAAGCTTTCTATTCTTCCTCTCCAAAGCGGATCTGAGACATAGTGCCCCTACTTAAGCAAGTAGCTTAAGCCCTGGAATGGGATGAGCATGACAGAAATGGTGAAATAAAAGCATTTATTTAAACAAGCAGGAGCAGCCAGGAAAATTCTCTATGGAATTGAGGGTGGATAGGAGCTGAAGGAGAGATGTGAAATCCTGGTTTGTGGCAAACAGTGTAGAGAAATACACTGCATTAGGCTATGAAAATTCTGCACATCTAACCAATTCCTAAATCAAGCGAACAGGGTTTCAATATGAAGGCTCTTAGTCTGCAGGAGCCAAAAAAATAAATAAATAAATAAATAAATAAATAACGTAGAGATTGCAGGGGTTGAGGGAGCAGGAGAAGAAAGATTAGTAATGCAATGCAAAAGTCATTCATTGAGGAAAAGGAAAGGATGCAGGTAATACAAGGAGAATGATCCTGGGAGATGAGAGGTTCAAAAGTAAATAGCCAACAGATTGATCTTACTTTTCAATATTCTCAAACCAGCAGGCTTTTTTAACACTAGAGGGCATGACAGAAAGAGACAGACAGACAGAGACAGAGACAGAGAGACAGAAAGAGAGAGAGAGAAAGAGAGAGAGAGAGGCTGACTCTGAAGAAAGGCAGCTTTCACATAAAGCTGAAAATACGCAAGGAAACCAGAAATTTCAAGGGGGCTTTGGCAGCCAAGTGGCTTTAGCCTTGCAAATAAAACACAGGTTGTTAGGCGGTTTCAGGGAAGGCTGACCATGATCTCTCCAAGGAAACCGCTTTCCTAAGCATTGAATGCATGGCATTTTAAATACCTCAGTCCCCAAAGCTCCTCTCCTCTGCTAGCAACACCTTTGCCTGAAGAAACCTCCCACCCTTTTGAGGTTAGTTTCCCTGAACCCCAAAGCATCTATGTTTGCCTGCCCCACTCTCCGTTCTCCTGCAGCTGACTAGAAAGGTTGGGGAAGCAGACTCTCCACCTGGAAATTCAAGTAAGCGTAGTCAGAGAATCGGGTCTGCGGGAGGGGCTTGCGCAGCTTTCGCTGTCCAGAGTAGCAGCCTCGGTGCGCTCAGGCTCGCGGCAGCGCAGCGCCCTCGGACCGGGCGAGGGGATCCCGCCGTGGCGCCCTCCGCTCTACCCCTTGTACCCCTCATTCTGGTCCACGACAGCCCGGACAAGGGCAGGCTGTCTCCGTCCCCGCTGGCCCCAAGCAGGGAAGTCTATGCACGTGGAGGTGCCCGTTAGATGGGCCAGGGCTTGCTCCCCTAACCAAGGCACTTAGGGATCAGGGGGCTGGTGGTGGGGAAGACCAGGCAAGGAGATGACAGAGGGAGACACGTAAGCTGCGAGAAGCAGACACACAGAGAAAACAAATGCTGCAAGACGGAAAGACAAGCGAAAAGACAGATTAACGGGGACACAGACATCCCAAGACAAACAGGGGGAAACAGAATAAGCGAAAAAAGCAGATACATGGCCGGGGAGTGGGGGCTGAGGGGACCAAGAATCAGAGAGAAACAGAGGCAGAGACATACATGGAGAGAATGAGAGGCAGGAGGACTCTGAAAGAGCCAGGCAAATAAGAGGGCAACCGTCGAGGGGGAAGACACCCAAGACCCAGGGAGCGCCTGGTGTCAGGTCGAGTAGAAACGCCCGCACCGCAGCTGAGGCTGGAGCTATTGCGAGAAAGTTGCCTGGGCTCGCAGGCCGAGCCACCCCCGCCGCGGAGCGCCACCAGAACGCTGAGGGGCCAGAGCCCACCCCCCACCCAAACTCAGCAGGGTAGCCGGAAAAGCAGAGGAGAGGTGGGCGGCGGCAAAAGTTCCGCGCCACGCGGTCCTCCCGCAGCACCTGCAGCCGCGGGCGAGCGCGCTCGGAGCTCCCGGGAGGCCGCCTCGCCGCGTCCGCCCGCGCTCCTGCCTTTGCCCTGGGACCGGCCTGGGGCGCTCGGCTCCGCGCCCTGGCACTCGCTGCCGGACTTTGCGACACCCAGCCCGGTCACTCCAGCAGCCCAGAGGGAGCTCGTCCCAGACAATCACCAGGAAAAGAGGGGAAGCGAGAAAGAGACGGAGACCTGCTATCGTGGCCAACAATCCCGCGAAGAGGGAACAGCAGTCCACGCACGGGATTCAGCCTCCAATCAAGCCCAGCAGACGCCGGCCGGCCGCGCCGAGTGCGAGGCTCGCCGAGCCCGCGCTCACCTGGAACCCGCGTCGGCCCGCGAGCGCCGCGCGCAGCCCAGGCTCCCGCCCGCGCGTGTCTCTTCACACTTCCCGGCGAGCAGAGGGAGCCGGCTCCGGCCTCAGCCAGCCCCAGAGAGGCGCCCTCATAGCGCAGTGGCTGGCTGAAGGGCTCCTCGAGCACGGCCAGAGCGGACGCCGAGGCCGAGAAGGCGCGGAGAGCGAGCGAGGGCTGCTAGCACGTTGTCACTTCGGCGGAGGCGGCGCCGCCGCCTGGTCACTTCGCCCCGGCCCCCGCCCCCCTCCCACCCCAGCCCGCCGCCTCCCGGCCCCTCCTCCTCGCGTGGTCCCTCCCCCTCTCGTAGCCCCAGCCTGGAGGCCTCTCACTGGGCTAGTATCATTTACGTAACCAGCACCTCCGGCCCTCCTCCCTCCCTGCTCCCGCTCCTCCCCCCCTGCTCCCGCTCCTCCCCGGGCTGGGGCTGTGCGCACCGAGCGCGCTCCAGCTGCTCCTGGAGCTGGCGCTCCTGCGATGTGCACAAGTCCCGCGATACTTGGCAGGCACGGCCCCCGAGAGCCACCGTGGGGTCAGCTCTCTCCCCGGAGAGCGCCTCGCGACCCCTAGCTGCCTTGGGTTCCCGTAACTCCAGAGCCGGCTTGCGTGCACCGTTCGCCCAATACGCCGCGGAGCCTTTTAGAGAGGAGCTGGAGGATCAGAGACTGCCCTCGGGGTAAACGCCGGCAACCTCACCCTTGCCGTCGGCTCTCCAGCGGAGACATGCTGTGGGGTACTTGAGGCTTCGGCGCCCTCCGCAGAAACGACAATTTGGCCTCTTGTTGGTTACAGTCCCTACACCTTGGCAGGATCCTAGTGTTCTAGTTGGCGGTGGCTGCTGCCACCGAACGCACTGTAAGAGTACTGGGCACACAGAGCGCTTCCTTGTGCTCTCAAATTTTTATGAAGAGGTAAAGAAAAAAGTGGGGTTTTGAATATCTTTCTCAGGCAGGAAGATGTGATATTAAACACACACTCCGAAGTGCCTGGATGTTTGCATGTCTAAGTTAATGTGTAGTGCCAGTACCCCATGGTGCTGAGTTTAAATATGTGTAAAGATTTTATAACAGTGCCTGGCACAAGGTAGAGACTTAAGATGGAGGCATTATTAGCATCTGAAAGACTTGGGACCTATCCCCTACTGCCATGGGAGAGGAACTCTTCTGGGGAATTGGGATAACCGAGTTCAAAGTTCCTGCTTGGCTATTTATTCACTGTGGCTGTTGGCTAGTTTTGACCCCTCGGATGTCAGTTTTCTTGTTTGTAAGAAGGGTTAACGGGTCCTTTCTTCTCACAGTGTGACTTCACATGTCTTGTAGCATGTTTTTGGCAGAATTTGGGAAGGATGTAACAGCTACATAAAAATAAGAGCCACGTTTCACAAACATATGTACTATTAATTATAACCTAGTATGTCAATGGCATTCTTGATTATACACATGAAAGGCAATTTCCAGACATATTATCTTTATATCTTTTCATGAGTCAATTATCATTTAAATTTGTATGTTAATAACTATATTAATATCTCCTCCTACATTGTCCATCCTGTCACACCATCAATTATGGAGCATTTACCAGAGATGCTTCTGGGAATGTGTGAGTACACAGGGTCCCACTCATAAGACTCTAAAATTTCTCTGTGTTGCTCCCTCTAGTGAATTCCAGTCCTACCATCAGGTCATTTACCTCTGCGTGGCATACTGAGAGAAACTCTGGACCAGGTAAAAGATCAGGGTTCTGATGCTGATACAACTACTAACTAGCCTTATGTTCTTTGAAGACAAATCAGCCCCCATTTTCACATTTTTAATCTCTTTAAAAGGCACAATACCATTTTGCGATCTTTGTGGTAATACTTAACTTAGGCAAGAATCATAAACTTGATCAAAGCTATTTGGGTAACTGGTTATTTACATAGTCTCAGAGTATCATGCTAGAAAGTATTGGCTTTTGCTGAATAATACACCAGTCCGAAACTTATTGGTCCCAAACAATAAACATCAATAATTTCTTAAAGCTCTGTGGGTTGTCAGGGGTGTTTCTGCCCTGGCTAGCTCAATTTGGTCTAGAGGTCTAGGATGATAGCCTCACTCGTCTGGTGACTGGCATACTTGCTTGTCTTGAGGGTGTGGGACTCACCTGCAATGTTCTGTCTTTTGTTTAATCTAGCCCATCATCCTTCAATAGGTTAGCACTAGTGGTAGTTGCAGGGCTCCAGAAAGCAACAAGGGAGTGCAAGATCCAATGTGGAGCACTCTTTGAGATTCTGTGGACGTACATTTACCAATGTCTCATTAGCCATGGAAGTTACATAGCCCAAACATAGATAATATACTCCATGTCTTGATGGGAGAAACTATAACACCACCTTTAGGAGAATGCATACATAAATGAAAATAACTTAAGGCCATTTTATAATATACTATAGATCCTTAATTACAAGGGAATAATAAATTACATGTAGTGGATAAAACTGGTAAATATCACCTTAACCAAGTGACCAAGGTTAATGTCTCCAATCAGTAACCAAGTGATATCATGAGCCTCATGATATGATGCACTGAGAAGTACATAACTATTTATTTAGGATTCCAGACAACAACAAAAAAGTATAATTGAATGGAATCATGAGAAAGCAAAGATAGGCCCAAATTAAGGAAAATTCTACAAAATATCTTGTCTATACTTTTCAAAAATGTCACGGTGATGAAAGTTCAAGAAAAGCTGAGAAACTGTTCCAGACTAATGGGGATTTAAAAACCATGACTACTAAATGTGGTGAGTAATCCAGAACTGGACGGCAAACTGGGAAAAATATCTATTAATATAAAGGACATTATTGAGACAATCTGATTCAAAATATTAATAAAAACTATAATATTTAAACTAGAAGACTTTATAATAAAAACTAGTTTTGTATCAATATTAAATGTCCTAACTTTGATAATTGTACTGTGATCATGTATAAGAAACCCCTTGATCTTTAAAAATACATAATGCATTACTTTGAAGTAAAAAGAACATAGCAGTTGTAAGTTATTTGTAGATGGTCCAGAAATACCTATAGAGAGAATGATGAAGCAAATGTGGCAACCTTTTATAATACTATTGGTAAGTTTCAGTAAAGGGTTTATGTTAATTCTTTGTAGTAATTTTGCAATATTTTTTGAAGTTTCGATACTTTTTAGAAAAATTGGGTAGTTATCATTACTTATGTCACAATAACTAATAATTCATCTGAATGAGTGTTGGAAATTATTAAAAAGTTATATTTTTTCAAATAGAAAGGCATTATTTTTAATCAAAGTGGAGCTATTGCAAGTATTTAGATAAATGGTATGACCGGTATTGTACAATTATTGGCTATAAGGCCAACATAATGGCTACCAGGCCAGTAATGTCTATTGTTCATTATATGGCCAAATGTATAAGGACTTAGCTATAGAATATACTAAAGATAGGGATGTGAGTTTAGCAGCTGCAGTTGTCCATTCTGTGATTAACCAAGGCCCTCATTCAAAAGGGAAATAAAGAAAATGAGATAGTTATATCTTGCTGAAATTAAATTACCAGGTTTCGGCAAATTATTAGGAATGAAGAAAAAAGGAAAACATATAACTTTAAGTGATTAAGACTAGATTAGTAGAATGATGGAGATGCCACTATTAAGGGAAACCAAAAGCAATAACCTTTCTTTTTCTAAAATGAAATCTAATAACATTTCTGTTTAATTTTAACATTTCAGTGGCTTCTCATTGATTTTAAGAAATTGTCGAAACTCTGTAACATGCTCTATAAGAACCTTTACTCTGGGGCTCTGCTTACCTCCTTTGTACTTAACAATGAGCTAAGCACTGTGGTAGGTGCAGAAGTCAAAGAGGAAAGTAAAGACAGCCTGCACAAAACTTAGGGTTCAGTCATTAATCCCATGGATATACATTGAGCACTTACAGCATGGCAGTTATTTACTAGGAACTAGAAATACAGCAGTGAGCTAAGGCCAAGGGTCACTGCTATATTGCGAGTGCCTAACAGTGAGCAGAAGACAATGCCTAGCACTGCCTAGTAGTGAGAAAAAAAAGACACCTTACACAAAAATTAACTCCAGATGGATTAAAGACTTAAACACAAGACCTAACACCATAAAAACCCTAGAAGAAAATCTAGGCAAAACCATTCAGGACATAGGCATAGGAAAGGACTTCATGACCAAAATACCAAAACCATTGACAGCAAAAGCCAAAATAGACAAATGGAACCTAATCAAACTCCACAGCTTCTGCACAGCAAAAGAAACAATCATTAGAGTGAATCGACAACCAACAGAATGGGAAAAAATTTTTGCAGTTTACCTATCTGACAAAGGGCTGATATCCAGAATCTATAAAGAACTAAAACAGATTTACAAGAAAAAAGCCCATTCAAAAGTGGGCAAAGGATACGAACAGAAACTTTACAAAAGAAGACATACATGAGGCCAACAAACATATGAAAAAATGCTCATCATCACTGGTCATTAAAGAAGTGCAAGTCAAAACTACAATGAGATACCATCTCACGCCAGTTAGAATGGCAATCATTAAAAAATCTGGAGACAACAGATGTTGGAGAGGATGTGGAGAAATAGGAACACTTTTACACTGTTGGTGGGTGTGTAAATTAGTTCAACCATTGTGGAAGACAGTGTGGCGATTCCTCAAGGACCTAGAAATAGAAATTCCATTTGACCCAGCAATCCCATTACTGGGTATATATCCAAAGGATTATAAATTGCTCTGTTGTAAGGACACATGCACACAAATGTTCATTGCAGCACAGTTTACAATAGCAAAGATCTGGAACCAACCCAAATGCCCATTGATGATAGACTGGACAGGGAAAATGTGACACATATACACCATGGAATACTATGCAGCCATAAAACACGATGAGTTTGTGTCCTTTGTAGGGAAATGGATGAACCTGGAAACCATCATTCTCAGCAAACTGACGCAAGAACAGACAATCAAACACTGGATGTTCTCACTCATAGGTGTGTGTTGAACAATGAGAACACATGGACACAGGAAGGGGAGCATCACACACTGGGGTCTGTTGGGGTGAAATAGGGGAGGGACAGCAGGGGGTAGGGAGTTGGGGAGAGAGAGCATGGGGAGAAATGCCAGATATAGGTGATGGGGAGGAACACAGCAAATCACACTGCCATGTGTGTACCTATGCAACAAT